TTCTCCTCTCCCTTCATTCCCCTCGAACGACCCTCTACCTTATTGTTCTTAGCCAACATTGACTGCCAGGGGTCAACAACCACAAGTCTAGAACCTTGTCGTCCCTCTATTCCCTTCGATTAGCCCGCTACCCTGTTGCTTTACATTGTCGTCAACCATAAGCACCTAGTAGCCACAAACCCAGAACCTTCTCATTGTCGTCCACTTACCCTTTACCTAGCCCTCTACCATGTTGCTCTTTGTCGTTGTTGTCTGCTAGTGCCAAGTGGCCACTAGTTGTGAATCGTGATTCCTGATTCACCACTTTCTAAATCATCCTTCTCCTCGTCTAAAAGATTTAACTTTTTTCTCTTAATACCTTTGGATGTAAGTCCGTATTTTTATCTGGATTGATTTCTCTGGTATTTTGCTTGATTATCCAAAGCTTGACGATGAAGAAAAATGGAAGATAGTTTGTTTGTTGAATTTCAATGCATGGAACTAAAAATTTAGTTTGTGGTTTGGTTGTTTAATCTTTTGTGGATTCAATATACAATAGGTGATGGAAGATAGTTTGATTATCCAAAGCTTGACGATGAAGAAAAATGGAAGATAGATTGTTGAATTTCAATGCATGGAACTAAAAATTTAGTTTGTGGTTTGGTTGTTTAATCTTTTGTGGATTCAATATACAATAGGTGATGGAATCTATTACATGTTATGTTTCTAGAGTGCTAGTTTAGAATGTAAGGTTAGCCAAAGGTCTCAAAGGGGGACAATGCTGTGAACATTTTTTGTCATTTCGTTTGAACTTACAGTGGGTTGTTGAACTTGTTATACTTTAGTGCTTTAGTATTCTCATCACTGAAAAAATGTTAAAATTGTTATGTCTGCTAAAAATTGTAATTTTCTCTTCAAACATCTAGGTGCCATCTAAGCATGTTAGGCACTAGGCATGACTCCAATCTTTGTCTTACGTTTAGCGCCTTATTGAACTTGTTATTTACCATTATAGTAAAAGACCTTTTGGATCATGATAAATGACTACTTGTAATTTTCAACCATGATATAGAACTTGAACACAGTTGAATTGATATAGACCATCTTAAGAGCTACAAAGACACTACTCAATAAGCAAGTTTGGTATGACGGAGCGGAAGAGTTATTCTAGACAACAACCTACTCAATTGTTAGTGTTTAAGCTACCTAGAGCATGGTCAGTCAAACCACATATATATATCAAATTCGCGGTACATATACGACTTTGTTAGACCAACTCCAATGCACAAAGCTAAAACTGCTAAAATTTGGACCTATTTTTGGCATTATAGGTTCACTTAAAGTGGATTTGCTCCAATGGAGAAGGACAAAGTGAAAAATCCCTAATGTTTTGTGTTTTGTCCTAATTTAGTTTAGAGTAGATTTCATCTTATGTGCATAAGAATAATTAATTAATACGAATATTTTTATGTAACTTTTTTTAATTTGGACATAAATTTTTTTATCAGTAAACATGATGTCATCAATGACGAAACACAGTAACTGTTGGTTCTTGCCCAAATTATTAAACAATTTTTCTACCCAAATTATTAACATGATTTTTAAAGTTATATTTACCTCCTAGATAACTAATTTATGTGTAGCAGTTAATCAATAAACTTGATTGTTGCTTTCTTTTGCTTCAATTAGTGCGCGGTTTAAGAATAAAAATACTAGTAATTATGAGGGGTAGGTATAACAATAAAAGCAACACGCGCAGGATGGTATTGGCTCCATCTCGTGCGTGTAACACAATCTCTCTCCCTAATGTGCATTGTCTTGTTGGCATGGTTCATTCGTTTAGCACTTCTTATCTTTTTGCAGGTTAACTTTGGTCCCGATTTTCTCACTTTTTGGCATTCCTAGACTTGGATTGGAGCTAATTTTATCACTTTTTGGTAATTTTGGATTTGGGTTGGAAATTGTATTATTACATCTGGAAACACAATTTCACATATTAGTTTATCCACGAGGGACAATTTGGTGACTAGGGAGGGTTCTTAGTCACTTGGCTAAGCCCCTCCTAGTCGTTGGATCCTTATTAATCAATCTAACAGTGGAAAATAGGACAAGGATAATTAAATAATGGGAGGGGCAATTTTGGAATTATAAAAAATCAATTTAAGTTTATTTGTTTTTATTTCCTCCAGCCATCCTCTTCTGCGTTGCCAACACCGGCCACGGGAGAGAGAGAAAAACAAGGTGGGAAGAGAGCGACAGCGTCGGTGGAAGAGAGGAGGGCGACGATAGAGAGAAAGAAAGGAGACCTCGACGGCGGCGATGGAGAGAAGGAGAGGATATTGCGACGGAGGCGGAAACGTTGGACAGAGAGAAAGCAGATCTGGTCGTCTTCGTCAGGAAAACAGAGGAGAGAGAGACAGTGGTGGAGAGAGATGCAGTGGCGGAGAGAGAGCGTCGACGATGGTGGAGAAGAGAGAAGTGGTGTTGTGATGGACAAAGAGGTAGCGACGACTGTAGAGAGAGTCGGCGGCGACGGATCTCTCGACATCGTATTTTGTCGTCCGAGAGAAGAACAACGATTTGTTATGCAAGTGTTGTCAGTTTGTATTATTAGTATTTTTGTATATAATGTTAGTATGATTTGTATAGTTTGTAGTATTAATTTGTACATAAAAAACATTACAAACATGGTTGACAAAAATGACAAACATGTTGGACAAAAATAACAAAGTTTACAAACATTACAAAACAAATCGACAAACATTACAAAACTTAATAACAGTACAAAATGCCACTACTTAAAAGTTACAATACAAAAAAGTAAACTTATATTACAAATTAATGAATACAAAGTATTCAAATCTTAACATAAAATATACAAATTAGAAAAACAAACATTACAAATTACAATATATACAAAATAGTCATATAAATATTACAAACATAATGGATAAACATAACAAACAATACAAACCAAAATTAATATAAACATTAAAATTCGGACCTATAAATATTACAAAGTAGGTTGACAAACATCACAAATCTAACACTAGCGTAGGAAATTTCCCATCCGCCGTCTCCGTTCGCCGGAAAGGCTTCTCCTCCGTCGCCGAAAAAACATCACCGGAAAATCTCAATCTCTCTCTCTCAAGGGAAGGCCAGGGAAGGCCTACTCTACTGTAAAGCTGGCGCAGAGGACATTATCGGGAAAATTCTGGCCACCGGAGTGGGAATTTCTTGCCGAAAGCAGGAGGTAGTAGGCTAGCGTCCGGCCTAAATTTTTTATTTTTATTTATTGTTTTAATTAAGAAAATTAAATATTGATGCAATTACGATATTGTCCTTCATTAAAGTAGATTAATTGTAGCCATTGGATTTTAATGAGGTTGAAGTACTAAGATTCACTTAGTCATGTGACTAATGAACCTCCTAGTCACCTGATCTTAGCCCTTTATCCAATTATGTGCGGCTTTCAGCAAAACCTCTAGTCTACACAAGCAAAACAATGGAAAGTAGGGATGACAATGGGGCGGGTTTGCCTAAATCATTCTCATTCTCGCTTTCAAATATCCAAACCCGTATCTGCATCATACCCTTGCGGGGAAGGTTTTGCAAACTCATCTTCATACTCATGGTTTTCGAGTACCCGTGGGTAATACCTGTCCCGTACATCCATGATCCAACATGGTAATACCTAAAATTTTACGTGTAAATTTTCAATTATAATACTAAACGCACATACTATATCATATGAAGTCGACAAAGATACATTTGTTTTTAATATGACTCAAAGTATTTTATCTTAAAACAGCCATTTATCCATAAGATAGAGTACAAAGTGATCCAGATCTTATTCTCTGACTCTGAATACATCTACTAAGTAATAACTAACAAACATAATTGTATCAACACAAGGGGAAAAGTGAAGAGTTAAGGAAAAGGAATTTAATTTTAATTAGGGTGGCCACTTATTTGTATTTTTACTATTTATTATTTTGAGTTACCCTTACTATTATTGATAGGTTACAATTTGATCCGTATATTTTTTTTTATATTTTTTATATGTGAAGAAATACTCTTGTTGGGGCGGGTATTGATAATAAACGTAAAAGACTGAAACCATACATGCCTCATACCCATCAAACATTTTACAAATTTTACTCATACCCGCCTCTTACCCAGTCAATGCGGGATTTCGAACGATTGAGTTAGAGAGGATCGGATACTCGCAATCATCTACAAAAGATATAAAGCCAAAACAAGGGTTGGCTTTGGAAGGATTTGAATTTCCAGCCTCCAAAGGCTTTCACGGAAGAGCAACCAGGTAAATGTACCCAATTAATTGATACGGCTGTGTTTCACATTGGTTCCTTCCGCTGGAGCTAAGCTAACAGACAATCCAGTGGGCCAAGCTTGGAGGGCCGGAGATTGGGCCTAATCTCTCGTGGCTGCAGCAGCTCTACTTCACAATAATTGAAACTTGCCATTTCGCAATCGTCCCTGCAACTTGATCTTAGTCTGGATTGAATGGGCCAATTAAAATGTTGTTTGTTAGTTCTTTTTCCTCCAAATGTCAGATTACATGATTTATTTAATTGTGCATTGACCGACTGATGAGTCAAATTATAGTTTACATTGTTGGTTACATTTGGTGGATAAGCCTAGATAGTTTGACAATCCCACGTATCTAATGTACAATACCAAAAATTTATTGTAAGAATTCATGTAATAGTGTTAGAAATTAGAATATTTTTTATGTTAAAAATGGTTTTATTAGGCACATACTAAATGTTAAATATTTATTTTTATCAGGACATGTCCCTGGCAATCGAATCTGGGGGGTGAGATTATATGATATTTGTGCCAAAATAAGAAAATTAATCTGCAAAACATTTAATTTGAAAATCACTGAGCTCAATACTCTATGGATCATTTTTATGAATTTCTTATCAATCTTACATTCATCAAACAAAAAATTATTATTATATTATATAATCAAACTATTCAAATTAAAAGTATGTCATCTTAAAATTAAGTGAAATTTTTTCAATTTGGCTTCATAGATAAAATCTTACTTATGTGTTTTTCAGGTCGGATTTCATTGTTTTCATCATTGTCCTAAAATGTCTATTTGTTCATAAAATTGGTTTCATTAGATTAGCAGAATTTCATATTTGATTGTTGATTTAGACTGATCTAGAAATATTTTATGAATTTAGTTAGACCAAGGTATACGTTAGTTTCATTACTTATATACAAGGTTGTCAACCCGCGGGTTGACCCGGACCTGGTTGAGCTAGTGAGTCAAGAGTTAACGGGTCACCAGTTTTAGCCTGGAAATATAGAAAGAGTAATTATATTGTACTTATCCTGATAAATTACATAAAATCTCATCTAACATATGAGTAATAACATATAACATTACACCAAAGTAACATGTCGTACTTAGATCCAACATATAGTGAAAATTCACACACTTATATAACATCAATATTTAAATATTCAACTAAGGATTCCAAAAATTGAGTTAGGCGAAAAGAAAAAAACCAAAGGATAAAATTACACAATTTGACCTCCAACCCGGTACCTTGTAGCGGTCGACCCGGTGGGTGCGTGAGACCCATTTGTCTCACTGGGTCAGGGTCAAAGTGGGTCAACCCGTGGATCGACCCGCGGGTTGACAACCTTGCTTATATATCTAGGGATGAGATTAGTTGGAGTTCATCAAAATGCATCGAACGGTCAGATCACATGGAGTATACCAGTCATTACCATATATATATGGGTGGTTATATATTATCTTGGGTAAAATCAAATGTATGACATACCTTGAGTAAAAAAATCATATCTAGACCTTGAATTAAACGGAGTTTTGCATTTTGTACTATTTTCAAACCTTTAAAGATAAAAATCTAAGTCTTGATTCTAAAAATCTCATATATAATTTTTTTTTATCTTTGTAAATTGTAAACATACACTAAGCGAATAAATATGTTTTTATCTCTGTTAGACTTTTAGTAATTAGTTTATTCACAAGCTATCAAAAAACTTTGCTCTGTCGAGAAAGCGACTATCTGTTCGCCAGACTTCAGGTGCTATGATTCACACTGTCGATTGTGAATGGAAAAGAAGCATTTCGAACGCAAAATTGGAGAATGAATTGGGATGTTTCTAGGTTTTTCTCGATTCCAGGTAGTGGGAAGAAAGAGGAAGGGAAAGGGGGAGAGTGGTGAGATACAGAGTTCAGAGAGATGGAAGAACAAACGGAAAAAGAAAATGAAGGCAAAAGGAGAGTGGAGGGCGCATTTAAAAGAGGAGGGGGGGGGGGGGGATGAGGTTGTGTGAAATAATTATCCCTCTACTTTGTTTAGAGGATATTGGTGGCTCTCTTCTGTTGAGTTTTGTTTTTTTTATGGTTTAGTTTTGATTATTTAGGAGAAGACATTTGGCTGATTTTTTTGCATTTTAATTTAAAATCCAAGATAAATATAACGTTTGGTTTATTTTTTTCCTTAATGTGATCATTGTAATTTCTCAGATTTAAGAGGTATTTTATTAGTTCAATACTTTAGTGGTTTTTTATTTAAAGCTTGAATTGACAAATCGTATCGTACGACAGTTCGACCAGAAAAACCTTATACCATAGGCTAAATCGGTAGGTGATATTTAGCAATATGAAATGGTTAAACCACGATTAAAGTATTATTTATGTATAAAATACTCTACAATGATTTTTTTATACGATTTTACAATCCTTGATCCAACCAATTCTTTTACACTGGTGGAAACAATAGTTAGGGGTGATAGTCGGTTCGGTTACGGTTTAACCGAACCGACGGGTCGGTTACCCGACACCAATAAAGAGCCAAATCCCCCCACCGACACCGACGCCGATATGATTATCGGTTATCCGACACCGACACCGACAAAGTACAATCGGTTGATCGGTTTCCCGAAACCGAGTGCATCCACCCTCTCGAGTCTTCTCTGCTCATCCTTCTCTCTCCATTCTGCGCCTCCAGGCTCCACCCAATACTTCTCCTCACCTGCGATGAACATGCACGGAGCAGAAGTTGGATCTGTCCGGATTTCTGGATCCGACTGCCGAATCTCGCCGCCGAATCGCGTTGTGGATGGCGGAGAAGGATCTGCTTCTGCCAAATCGCCAAGGAGAAACGGAGGAACACAGGAGCTAGAGGAAGAAGGACTGAGGGATGGATCTGCTTCCACTGTTCTGGATCGTGCTTCGACAAGAAAGGAGAGGGGGAAATCGCCGGTCAAAGTTCTCGTTCGTCGCCACCACGACCCTCGCCGTCAAATCTTTCCGCCAAATCTCACCATTAGGAGGGATAGAGGAACACAAGAGTATGAGGAAGAAGGGAATCACACCGAGGAAGGTGAGATTGAAGGGATTTGGAGAGTGACGAGTGAAGAAGGAGAGGTTTGGAGTTCAGGGAGAGGTAATGAGGGGTGATGGTGAGAGCAGAGAGGGAGAGTCTCTAGAGGTTTGCGGTTTTGGCGGTGCACCGAGATTATATCGGTGTTGCAACCGTCGGTTGCCGGTTAGCAAAAATCCCCCAAACAGCCAACCTAAGCCGACACCGAATCAATATTTTCGGTTATCGGTTCGGTGAATAACCGCGATTTTCAGTTCGGGCTTCGGTTTAACCGAAAAACCACCAACCGATTAACACCCCTAACAATAGTTATAAGGCACATTTTGAACTAACTATTGCAAAAAAGCATAAGACAGTTAGCGATAATAAGAATATGCGATCTCATTCAACCCAAATTACACTTTGCAATTTCTATCTATTTAAAATAAATATATGCTACTAATACCCTCGCTCATTCATCAACTTAATGAGTAACATATATTTCATGTCATATGATTTCCATTTATTGCATTTATTTCATGAAAAAATATTTGTTGCATGAAAACCACTACATTGTTATTAGACATGTCTGCAATCTTAGAATAATTTGGAAAGTTCGTACACAACACATTGTCCAACTAACTATTAGTGACAACTTAGCATTATGGCTGGCTATTTGGTGCGGGTTTTTTGGTTTTACCCGAAACCGGATCGTATAACCCGGACCGAGATCGAACCGGGACCGAATAGTAAACAATCCAATCAAATCTTTGGGCTTAGATTTGAGGTAAAAAACCGTTCAGGACCGGATCGAAAACTGGATAAAGACCGGATAAGAGAGCTCAACACCAAAAACTTAAGGGTAATTTGCATAAACGGTCACAAACCTTTGCACTTAGTACAAAACTTAACCAACTCCTCACCCTTTCAGGCCTTAGGCCACTCAAATCCCCACAAGCTCAATATAAAATCAAGACCGAATTGGGACCGGATTGTATCCAATCCAATCTTTGGTCCTTATATTTTCAAAAAGACCGGATTGGACCGAATCAATTTGGGCCACTTTAACCGGACCGGACCGTATAGCCACCCCTACTTAGCATCATGTCCTATATATTTCAAATCAAACAATTTCAAATTCATTACCAAAGGTGTTGTAAAAAAGAATGCTCTTTATTGGGAATAAACTTCAAGGACATACTGAATTATATGAGAGACATTTTCTTTCATCCTCAAGGTTGATTATGTATGTATTATGGGAAACAACTCTAATATTCACCTATATGGTTTAATTAAGTAATGAATGACAATTAGTTATATTTATTTCTTGTTTCATTCAATAAATATATGTAATGGTTATATCATATTTATTTCTCTTTTCGTGGAGGTCTAAACACATTATGCATAGTTGGATCACTTTCAAAAATGTTATGAGGATAACTAAGGTAAAAAACACTCATTTCATGCATTTCAAATAATCTGTTATATCCATTATTATATATCATATTGCTCGACAAACTCTTCCGGCCAATGGGTCGGGCCCGGTGCTAGTTGCCATTAGAAGGAAGAACATAGTGGCCTCTCGAAAGCAGTTATTTACTTATTAATAATAATAATAATAATAATAATAATTAATTATTATTATTATTATTATTATTATATAATTAACCCGCAAGTTATCTTCTAATATGTTTACTGTTCTTAACGAAAAAAGCGGTGACCCTTGAGTCCTTGGAGAAACACTGTTCACTGGCCATTTAATTTGTTTTTTAATTCAAGTTCAAACCTACAGCCGGCTGTATGCCAAAAAAATAAGAAATCATGTGGGAAGGGTTTTCTTTCTAATTGGCAGGTTCTTGCATTTGCCTTCGTGCCAAATTCTATCCCACTGATGTAGTAATCTATCTAATTGAATTTTTGACATGCAGTTGCATAAGTAACTAATTTCATTATTATCAACTATAATATTCACCATGTCAACTATAAAAAAGAACTATAATATTCACCATATCATCAATTTACATTAAACAAATGTTTTCGTATTTACATTACACAAATGTTCCGTAAGATAAGTTTATAACTTAATTTTTTTTATCTCCTACATCCAATTAATTATACGTTAGCTAACTTTGACATATCAGTTTAATCATACGTTACAATCTAAAATTTTATTTTATTATTAGGCCACACATTATAAATATTTATATAACAACGTTCTATAACCATTTTTATCTCCTACATCCAATTTTACCATAAGTTCACGATTAGTTAACTTTGACATAATAGTATATATGTTACTTTCTAAAATTTTATTTGATTATTAGACCATATATCATCAGTTACACTACCCAAAGAGCCCGTATGGTAAGATAAGTTTATAACTTAATTTTTTTTATCTCCTACATCCAATTAATTATACGTAAGCTAACTTTGACATATCAGTTTAATCATACGTTACAATCTAAAATTTTATTTTATTATTAGGCCACACATTATAAATATTTATATAACAACGTTCTATAACCATTTTTATCTCCTACATCCAATTTTACCATAAGTTCACGATTAGTTAACTTTGACATAATAGTATATATGTTACTTTCTAAAATTTTATTTGATTATTAGACCATATATCATCAGTTACACTACCCAAAGAGCCCGTATGGTAAGTTAACTTCGATATAATAGTTTAATCAAACGTGATACTTTACATAACTTGATTTTATTATTAAACCTCACATTACAAAATGTATCACTTCAACAAAATGTAATATGATATGTATTTCGTAATGAATAATACATTAAATAAAACTTAAGGAGGGATAGTCATTTATTAAGTATCAACGAAAAATATATTTTTACATAACACTGTCTTATAAAAGTTACGTAAATTATAAATACATTACACAAAACTTATGAATAAATAGTTGATTCTTATGTATCAAAAAAATTATTCTATTATTAGGCCACATATATCAGTTTACACTACCCAAAGAGTCCGTACAGTAAGTTAACGTCGATATAATAGTTTAATCAAACGTGATACTTTTCATAACTTGATTTTATTATTAAACCTCACATTACAAAATAATTCTTATGTATCACTTAAATAATAGGTCATATGATATGTATTTAGTAATGATTACGACATTACATAAAACTTATGGAGGGGATAGTCATTTATATGTATCAATGAAATAAATATTACCGGATATTTACATAACACTGTGTTATAAAAGTTACGTAAATTACAAATACATTACACAGAACTTAAGGATAAATAGTTAATTTTTATGTATCAGTTACAGAAAACGATATATGATACGACTTTCATAATGATTAAGACATTACGTATAACTTACGATTGAATAGTCATTTCTTATGTATCGATTGAAAGTTATGAATTAAGCAAGTCTAATACTTTTTTTAACTTAAGTCTTCTGTACTATAAGTTTTATTGAGAAAAAAATATTATTTATCAAACTTATCATCAAATTGCATTACACCAAAGTTCTATAACATTAGTTATTTTTCACATAACAATTTAAAATGTGTTACTTTTTATAACTTAATTCTTTTATTATTAATTAAAATTTCTTTACTATTAACTAAAATATTAATTTCCCTTAAAAAGGGTTTCATTAGGTGATTAACTTTTAGATAATAGTTTAATCCGATATGATATTTTTTATAACTTAATTTGGTTATTAGACCACACATTACGAAAATTTATATAACATCGTTCAATAACAGCTACGTTAATGTGATACATTAGGTAAATATTTTAGAGGAATGATTATTTCTTATGCAATTGAGCAAGCCTATTGCATAATTTTTACTGTCGATAAGAGTGTGAAATGGTTTGGTCCATACTGAACCATATCGTATCAAACCCCTACAAAAACACATATTGCTTGATCCAATGAATTTTATGAAAACTGAAAAGATCGATCAAATTGACACTTTAAACAAATCAAACGGGATAAAATGCAATGTTGTTTCGATACTTGGTTTGAAGATGTCTTTCGTTGTTGGACCAAAATTCTCATGAATTTGATTCGGTTTGGACTGTTGCACACCCTAACCGCCGCAAAAAGCGGACCATAAAACTAGTATAAATATACACTTCAATGCATCTATACAAAACTGGGACGGATTTTCTCTCCTCTTTCTTTTAACTGGTATACATATATAGCTCTAGTTATATAAATTACTATTCTACTTTGATAACCTCTATGCAATTATTGAAAACAAAAACTAACCAGATAACTTAAGCCAACGGCAAACAATTATGGCTCACATCGGCCTTCCCTTCCTGCTACTGGAGGAGGAATCCTGCACAATCTCATGCTTTCATGATGTAAAGCTTTGCTTCCCGATAAGTGAGAACCAGAGCTTCTGGCAGCTGATATCCAGTTAGATTGGGTACGCAACTTTATTTTAGCGGCACGAGGAGGATGACTATGATCAAAAGGGCATACTTGCGGTAAGGCGTCAACCACGTTTGTCATGCTTTATCACGGGAACAAGATGGATGAGAATGTTCATGGGCTTCGGCCTGAGTAGAGCATGCATGTTCAATTTGATTTGCTACTAACGGACGCCAAGGGAGGATGCTGCCTCTAAAGACCCTCCTTCATATCTTCGAATTAAGGTGCTTGCCCTTGAACTTCAAACCCTTCCGGGAAATCCTCAAACGAAGGTGAAGATCCGCTGGAAGAATCGCTCTCAATCTCAAATGGAGTTTCTCGCGGAGATGATGGAATTGAGTCTTGCTGTTGCCCAGACCCTGGAGACCAGAAATACGAGACAATGTTAAGTACTTATGAAGGCAAATACACAAAAACCCGTTCGAAAAACCTTACATAGATACTTGAGAAAAAAAGCATGGCACCAACCTTTTTTCGACCTGAATTTCTTAGTGTGTCTCCTTATAAGCCTCTTTGCTTTGGTTATGGTGAGCTGTCGAGCATAGGGGGAGAATTCAGCGTCACTCTCGCTCCAGTCACCCTGGAATTCGTTCTCGTCACCTCTCATTGTCCGCAGCACAAAAGCCTTTGCCTTGCGGCGTTGTGTGCTGAAGAGACCCTTCATGGAAGTCACAAATCCATCACCTGCTGCTGCTCCATCGGCTGGACGTTTTAAGAAGTTAGGGTACTGATCCGGTTTCCCTGCCTGACCTTCATTATCACTGAGATTAAGGTCGCTGTCCGGGACAGCTGGAGGAGCAATAGGCTCTTTCTGGCCATGTCCCTTGTCCTTGAATTTCTTTCCCTGAACAATTTAAAACAGCACAGAAGATTCATTCAAAACTTTCCAGTTAGGATCGGGATCAAACTACAAAGTACACAAGGAAAATTTCCTCCAATGGATTTCAAGCACTGTACAGAGCACATACAAAAACAGACCTTGAAAACCAGAATCACGGAGAACGCATAACATTTGAACTCCTATTTTTTCTAGAATAAAATGGAGGGTGGGACAACATATCACACAAGTGGTACAAGGATCAATAATTCAAGCTTTGGTTATGTATTATTGTTGGTTGTGCTGAAACTGACTTTTTTATTCACATTTGGTTTTGTATTCTTACTCATATATTCCGCTCGAAACCAACTTTCGTATTTGGTTATGCATTTTTACTCATCTTTCTCACTTGAGGTCTAATCGAAAGTTAACTACAAAATATCTCACTCTCAATCCAAAAGTATGAAAGCGCATCGAAACCGATGAAATCACATGAGACCGACTTTCGTATTTGGTTTTACATTTTTACTCACCTCTCTCGCTCGAGGTTTAGTAGAAAATTAAAGATGAAATCTCTCACTCTCAATCAAAGAGTCGAAAGTGGCATCGGAATCAATGAAATCGCTCGAGACCGACTTTCGTACTTGGTTATGCATTTTTACTCATTGATTCAGTTTAATTCAGAACTTCAGTGGCAGGGAGTGCCAATTATTACAAATCTCTCATACAACATCTTAATGATTTTTCTTGTCATTCTTGAGTTATATAGTATGAGTTAATTTTCCTAATTCTTTCATATGACACATTTATCGTGTTATTTTCCACTTGCCGCGAAGCGTAAACAAGTAGGCATATCTACTTGATATATAAAAAAATTTGGTTAGGGTGTTACTATTGATTAAATGATTTTTTCATAATTATTATCAACTTTATGAGCATTATCTCGAGAGGCTACACATATTACATCATTTCTTCTATTTCTTTAAGCATATCAATTTTTGTTTTATTTCAAAAAAAGTTAGGTATTTCCTTTTTCTTTTATTTCTTTTTCCTTTTTTTTTCATTGCTTTTAGTCACATATGAAACTTTTAATGGTCTATTTTTTATTATTTTATTTATGTTGGGCTAAAATCAACATCTTTTTCGTACTTAGTTTTGCACAATTACTCATCTCTCTCGCTCAAACTCCAATAGAAAGACAACACGGAATCTCTCATCCAATTGAACATGAAGAAGGCGGTATCACGGAAATCTCTCATCCAGTGGAACATGACGAAGGTGGCATTGAAACCGATGGACCTATATGTCATGTTTTTAGTTCTTTTCCTTGGATATTTTTTCTATATTCTTTCTTTTTCTTTATTTTTCATCAGAAGACATGAGTCCTAAGTTACTTCTAAGTTCAGTTTTTTGTTTCTTGGACTGAAAAATACGCGTAATCATGTGTCATGTAGAAATTTTGTAAATTCTCTAAGTAGTAGTTGTAGAACTCCAATTGAACAACTTCTTACTTAATAATGTGTAGATCGTCCTCTTTTGATCTATAACATCGTTGACCAGCGAGTGCAAATTTCTATAGAGTTCTCCACCAATATTTTTGTGACTTTTGTTTGTTGGTTTTGTAGTTGTCTTATGAGTTACATTTAGCTAATTTTTCCACATATTTATGGTGTCGTCTTTCACTCACCCGCGAAGCAAGCAAGCCTATCTAGTTGTATTAAAAATTGCCAGAGCCCAAATAATTTATTTGTGCAATGATATAGAAGAGGTGAGCACCTGCATTCCAGTCACGGATTTCAGAGTTCCCCAGACAACATGCTTCTTAACTCGAGAGAACAACCTCCTCCAAGTTCCAGTGAACTCAACACGGTGAAACGTATCCATCAGCAGCTTAAGCTCATGTAGATTAAATCTTGAGCTTTCATATGTGATTTGGAGCTCAACCTAGGGTATAGTAGATGAACTCAGTTCAATATATTAATCCATACAAGAAGGGGGAATTCAAATAATAGAAAACAGGGTTAGATAAACTAGATAACAAACCTGACTGATCTTGATATTCTGGAATTCCATCACTTTACGAGGACGAGATCTCTTTTCATCTTGGGTCTTCACCACCTTCTTCTCTTCTTGAGATGGCCGGCCAGACTTTACAATAGCCTTCGGATCTTTTGACTTATTTTTATCATCTGCTGCTTCGATCGCAAGAGGCTCATTTTTTGCAGAAGAAACGCTGGATCCATGAGCTTGCAAAAGCTCATTTGCAACAGTTTCAGCAACAGTTTCCTCCCATGTTCTGTCAAAAGAAGAAGTCCTCCTCAGCATGTTGCCAGTGCTGCCAGTCAACTTGGATAAAATATCAGGTTCCTTCCCTCCATGGCTGGACGTCGACGGAGCTTCACTGGTTAACATGCCCTTCTTAAGACGTCTTGCAGCAGCAGTAGTTGAAACTTTCCAGACTTCCTGCACCCCCGAAATGTGGACAAACAGTTTCATTATGAGTGCTTTCTTGAGTATTGTTCTACCATGTTAATGCAGCTTTTCGCTCATCAAATTGAGAAAGCAATTATCCAACTAACCTGCCGGCGTTGTGAATCTTGCTCTTCTTCGGGAAAGAAATAAGTCCACATCATTCTGTACATAGTCTCTGTCAAGTGAATTTTCAAAGGATATATCTCCACCTGCAGCAAGATAAAGATTTGTTTAAACAGGTGCCAGCCAGGCAGATTGCAACCTAACCTTCTTAATCTAAAGAAATAACTCTCCAACAAACAGGACAGACTAAAGTTCGCCATTTAGCCTGTCTCATAAAATATAACAAATTATCAACTTGCGGAGAAAACATACATGGCCAAAAAATGTTCTTCACATAAGAAATGTCATGCCAAATCATCCGGATAGAAATAGAAATTGTGTTTATCCATGGTGGTTTACTTGTTAAGTAGTTTTTCAACAGAATAATATTTTCCAAGACAATCACAGTTCTCCATCACAAGACATGTTGAATCAATTGTCTGTAGTTCCTCCTGTTTAGAATGTTACTGGGGCATCTAAAGGGAAAAGGACACTCATAACATAATGGCGGGTCTTGAATCAATATAGTCTGTTAAACAGCAGAAAAGTTTATTGCTAGGATATCTCTGCTAATTTTTGCTATGATCATCACTCTCCTACGGCTTTTCACCTCCCCTTTATCCCTCTGCAATCACGCTCTCCAAGCTTTGAGTCACATCCTCAATTCAATTGTGAAGGAACCATAAAGTTATCATACTTCTCATCCATTGCACTGCTCACTCTTATGCCAATGGCTAATTGGTATTTGACCACCAATATAAATTGTGTTATGTTATACATTGTCAACTTCAGTAGTTGCAGCCCACTCAACAGAATGATGCAAAACCCACGATAAAAGGAAACTTGAGGATAAAAGAAAAACAAAGAGAACCAAATTACCTGGAAAAGTTCAATACGAGAATTCCCATCCTTTGGTGTTCCTTGTTTGGCATCCACACGCAGCATGACTTTTCTGCAAGCACATAGACATAATAGAGCTTCTTGAGGAATGAATACAAATTAAAGCGAAGGGTCTTAAGTTGTGCAGTTTGCAGCATGTGTTTCACAGAATTTGTATATAATAGCTCTCATGCTCATTTTAAAAGCAGGCAACCCACAACTTCCACATGTGCCTAGTACCGTAATTTGTTAAAGCTACCTAAATTCATTACCTCTCTACTTACATGAAAATGACATCCTATGCAAACAAATTATGTTTTTAGGTTTGTCATTTGCACAACCAATTATCACAAGACAATTCAGCCTCCTATTTCAGATTCAAAACCAACTGAAAACAAATTGGATTTTTCGGTTTGTCATTTGCACAACCAATTATCACAAGATAATGCAGTATGCCCCTTTACTCATCATGAATGAAAGACATCTGAAACCCACAAGTCAATTCCCCTACGCCCGATCACCAACAACTTACAGAAAAGATTCACAAGAAGCTCATTCGAGTTAACACCACAATCAGATGTTCAGTTCAAAATCAAACCAACATCTGTGACAGGTTCTTACATTCGCAGGAAGGCTTAGAAATAATTTTCATACGCTCCACTTGAACTTGCTACAATACATAACACAAATACAGTGTTTTATTGTGTTGTTATTAATAACAATGCATCCCTCCACGACATCCACCGCCAAGATCCTTGTATGTACAGCATGAACTATAGAAAACTACACCCTTACTAACAAATAATTGGATCAAAGAAGCACTTACACTATCAATGAAGATATCATCAGAAAATAAGAAAGAACAAGGCAAGCATGCCTATAATATCCAGCAGTACTTACTTTCCCCAATCTGGTGGAGGATTCCATGGGGACAAAACCATATCAGACTTTGTGTTGGGGAGACAGTTCCTCACAACAACCACCTTGGTTGTAAATAGAGCAACACCAACATCCTTGTAGTCCCGATCAAAATCAAAAATCTGGAAGAGGGAAAAAAGGGAGGAAGATATATGAAGAAACATGTTGGAGCTTGCCAACGACTAGAAAAGAGACAATATAGAACAAAACCATCAACAATGCAAAGCAGTGACTTACAACAGCACATCAAAGTACTTGTACCGATGAGGATTGCCACTATTTGTCACCATATATTTCGAAAGAGGAGAAAGATACATTTAAAGACAACGGAAGTAGAAAACTACTATTGTAACTCAAAGTGTCAGAAATTAAAAGACTAATTTAGTGATGATCATAATTCACTCATGCAGGCACATCAGAGGAGCTTTTGAAGCACAAAAGAGTTAATAATTGTGTATTGCTTACTTCAACCCTGAAGATAATCATTCTAAAAGTAAGACTAACTTAGTAATATTTCACACGACTGCAAGAATAAAATAGGAGTGAGGAGCTACAAGGGGAAGCAAATACTTAAGAACATTCACTCACCATATCATTTATCTCAGCCTCTGCAAAAGGTTTGCCATCTATAAGCATGCTCCACACAACTTTATTAATCTGCAAAGATATTCGCATAGCATAGGATGGACTCTTATTCTTCTCCTTCTCCATCAACCGCAACTGTGCAGCTTTTTGTAGAGCCACTCTTAATGCTGAAGATGCTTCTTTACGGGACTTTTTTGCATTAATGACCTCTCTCTTCAGACCTTGTACCTGAAAAAGTAAAGTTTACTATAGATAAGATACAATTGACAGTATAAAAAACAAGGAGCAAAAGAAGAGTAATAGATATTACAGAAGACAGACCATGGAGCATAAAAATAAAATGGCAATTACACCAGATGCAGATCACTGATCATTAAAGCTTGTTAGTTGATGCAACCCAATGGTACTGCAGCTGCCATTTAGTCCTTTTCTTATGTGCAAGAGTAATTTCCTTTCCTCTTCATTTATGAAAGGAAAGAGAAGTAATACCAATTGCAAGTTTGAGGCTTCTTACCAAAGCAGATCTTCCACCACTTATCATCCAGAAGTCATCTTCTGTTCTGGCGGATGAATCTGGAGATGTGCCACAATCTAGAGAAAGTGACCTGATGTCATCAAAGAACACTTTCAGCACCTGCTCTGCTCTTTCGAAGTCAATTCTTGCAAGTTCAACCTCTTCAACCCCATCCGGAACAACCTCGTCTGCTTCCTCTTCCATGTCTTCCTCATCTTCAGTAGGAAGTGACAGACTATTCTTTTTAGGCCTGAATCATGCATGTTACAAAGTCATTACATCTGTCACAAATCATGTTGTGAAAATCTTGGCTTGGCATGAAAAAAACATTCTAGCATAGTTAGACAACCACAAAAATGTACATCAATGTGAGTGAGAATAAGGAACTACGCGTATCAGAACTGCCTGCAGCACAATTGAACCGGAAAATTACCAATTGAAAAGAGGTACCCCAGCCACAACACATCCATTTATCACCCCAGAACTAAATACAGCATTTCCAGATCATCTAAAGATTCTCCTTAAAATAAATGGAAGTTTAAAGGAAATTTTCAATGCTAGAAGTCTGACATCCATGGACAAAACCAATATTGAAGACTAAGTTCTAATCTAATTTTTGAAACCAAAGAAAACGGAGCAACAAGTACGTAACTATAATATGAAACACTCACTTTGGTAGCCGTGCAAAGAGGAGATTTGTCAAGACGTCCAGCATGACTTGAAATTGTCGAGACGTCATTGTTGCTGTTATGTTATGAGTATTGAATGTAAGCTCTTTCAATGGTTTGACCTGCACAGAACCAAAGACACAACAGGAGCTAATTAGGTAAAACATGTAGCAGTTGGATGATCAACCACAATAAATACAAGATAGGTTTTTCTAGAGAGCACTCTTACCTTTAACTCTGGAGTCCCTCCTTTGTGTCTTGTATACCTGAAATACATATCACAAGGCATAAAAACTCTTTCTAGCAGAGCGCCAGTGCGCTTTACTTTTGGGGAACTTCTACGGATTTTCGGAAGCCACTGGAGTCCAGCCCCTGGATCAACATCAGTTGGCGCAACATGAGCCTGAACATGTTCTAACATAACTGACAATTCCATTCGCTTCCATGTCATCTCAGGTACAGTTTCTGGAAGTTGCACATCTCCTGTTCCTAATGCCTGCTCAATAATCTCATGTCCAACTTGGAGGACTGAATGAAACGACCGAGCTAAAACACGACCACTAACAGCAGCAAGTAGAAACCTACCCTGGTGTACCAAAAGAAAAACAGAATGAGCATTCTCCAGATGTTTCTTACACAATAGAGAAACTTTGTCCCATAAATATGATCATTATACTATTATAGAAATCTGAACAGGATTCTGGCTTGCTCTCAAATAATCAAACAAAGCGTACACGAGTAAATTAGAAAAAGAAAACTATCATATGGTACAAATTAAAGGAAAAGTGCACAAAGATTTTGGCAACATGCTTTATCGACAGATTAAGTGGGGAAGTCCCAAAGAAAATTAGCAGTAGCAGTCATAACATTTGCATGAATCGCATGATATTGGTGGAGGGAAATTAGAACAGAATAATTACTAGAAAGGTAAAGCCATGAAGAGCAAATGAAAAAGTCATAGCCACAACTGTTGCTACTACACAAACTCTAATAGAAAAATAAAACTATCATATGGTACAAATTAAAGGAAAAGTGCACAAAGATTTTGGCAACATGCTTTCTCGACAGATTAAGTGGGGAAGTACCAAAGAAAATTAGCAGTAGCAGTCATAACATTTGCATGAATCGCATGATATTGGTGGAGGGAAATTAGAACAGAATAATTACTAGAAAGGTAAAGCCATGAAGAGCAAATGAAAAAGTCATAGCCACAACTGTTGCTACTACACAAACTCTAAGCAAGGGTTTTTCAACTTACATTTGCCTCTTCAGAATGAAGATTGAATTGTGGCTCAATCACATTCACCATGAAATGACGAGTTCCTTCTCCCTCGGTCTCGTCCTTGCTAGCATTTGCTGATGATGACAAGGAAAAAAAGGAGACTCAGCAAACAAAAAGAGAGAAAAATGAATCAGAAGACAATAAGTTCAGGGACACTCAAGACACACCAATAGCAGGAAATGAGAAATTCTCTAATTTAATTGGATTTGAAGGAGGTGAAGTAGATCCTGATGTCTCCACGGGTTCAGGTTCAGGGATGGAATGTTCATTTTGACTAGTAGGTGGGGTCTGAGAGGTATCATCTTGAGATACTTCAGCTTTGGCAGGTGCTTGGCTTTCCTCAAGCAATTTCCTCTGTGCATACTGCCGAGATGGAGAAGGCTTAGGGGGTGCAAATGCTTTACCAAGTCCACCAGCAAAAGACCAAACAGCATCCCTATTTTCGAGATTCCATAAAATCTTGAGACCATAAACAAAAATACGCTGACAATTGTCAGCTATTATAACATTATAACCATCATCATCACTATGATCAGAGCGTTCATCACTATCACTGCCATGATCAAATTCAGATCTCACATATGTCAACTCAGCATTTCTTCTTCCAGCCTCTTGCCAAGCCAATAGTTTTGACGCATCAGCTTTTGGTGACTGCCTTCTGATAGTAAAATACGCACAGGATAAAAGAAAGCCAGCATCTCGGTGCTTCTCAGTGCAACTAGTCATATTATTGTGCTTTTCACTTGGAACTCTTTCCATAGTCGAAGTTTGAGAATTTTTCTTGTTCGCCTGTATAACTTTTTCAACACTGGTTGAATCTTCTCTATTTATGACAGCCTTAGGAACATGGAGATCAACTCCCATGTAGACGAGATCAAGAGGGCCACGAATGCTTTCAAAAGTGAACTTTTGCTTACCCCGACCGTAACAGGCTTCATATTTCACCTTCGACATATTAAATGTGAGTCCTTTTGCTGGATCATCATCATGCATTGGACGATTCTTTATGCAAGTAGGTGAAGCATCTATACGAAGGTAGAATTCCGTCATGACCTTGTCTAGTGATAAATTACCAGACCGCACAATTCTTGGAACACCATACCGAGGCCAACGGGAGAAGGTACGTATCTTATTAGGTGGAAGATAGTTCAAATTCCAGAACTTAATCAGCCATGCCAGGTCATGAGCCCCAACAGTCAACGTGGGCGGAACATATGAAACATTATCAGGCTTCAGAGGGAGATTGGGAACAGCACCATCACTTTTACTGTTGCCCGTGGAAGAAGATGATTCATTTGAGCAAGGAAGTGGTGGTCTAAGAGCGAAGTTCCAACGTAAGGCCAATGACGTAGATCGAAAAGGATCAAAGACAAATTCACGAGGTTTTCCTTCAATAGGGACTGCAAATAGATAATGATTCATCGGGGTGCCAGAGTCACATTCCCATTCCATTGTCACTTCAAGGGTAAACGTTGGGGCTTCAAGTAATGCTTGAGATACACCAGAAGGAAGTTTGAAGCCACACCTGTGGGCCAAATTATCTAAACTGCTCATGAAAACCTTGAAATCCTTGGTGGACATAAACACACGCCCATCTGACTGCTGAATCTCCATGAAACCTGATATTATTTGAGCTTTGTCGAGCTTTTCATAAGGATCAGTGGTACCAAGAACATGCCACAGAGTTTCAGAAAAGGACAAGGTGATCTGTCCATGAATGTAGTTCCTCATATCATCCCACCAAGGTAGGCTACGCTCCTTTTTTGGAGGTACAACTAATGGACCTGGATTTCTGACACTAAGGTTAGCCCTGCGAAGTGCCACAGTAAAAGCATAGCTAACATCCGCAAACGGTGGCTCATAGCCAACTCCATAAGATATTTCTCCTTTCTGAAAATGCAATGGCAAATCGAAGTATGATTTCATCGGAGGAGTAGTACCAGTAGCTGAACGGAGCATGCAAACCTTTCTCCATCTCCCTATAAAGACATCTTGTTGCATTTGGGGCTGGAAGGGTGTGGCCTAATTAAAAAAGATAACAGTCATGTTCAAGAACAGTGTTATTGATATGCAAATAGCGCGGAATTTCACAGAAAAATGTGGAGCAGATGGTTTACGATGTCAGTATTATGTATCACAGGTGATCCTTGACATAAAAGGATAGCATAAATCATTCTACCTGAGACTGACAGACAGAGCGTACATAATGATGTAACAATAGAGCACCAGTTTACCTTACTTGTAGAAACCAAACATTCCATGCATCAATATCCTATCTGATTGATAAATTTTGTACGAGACTAGCAGAAGCATAAACTTTCAGTTTGTTTCAAGTGTCCGTTTATACGAAACATAGTTCTGAACAAAAGAAATAGGGTACTCGCACTATGCAGCTTGCCCACAAAAATAGTTGTTCTGTGAATGAAGTACAAGGGAAATAGTTGACGATTACCACATTTATGTTAGATTTGTATGTACTTTAATTTAAAACAAAAATCATCTTTCAGGCAAGTCTGTCTCTCAGCTCTAATATACCACAGATTTTATGGGTCGTTCGGAATCTGTGATGTCAAATTATGTATTTGGAGAATGTATGTTTTCCAGACAATACAACTAACCTTACTTATACAAGTTGCTTTCTTCATTTTTCCTCCCAACCACACTTTCCAGTTCATTATTTTCTTCCTATTCCGAATACACATATTTTCAAATACGTACACGCAAGAATCACAAATTTGAAACGACCCCGAATGGTATTCCACTGTAAGAGAACCAAGAGATAAGTTTGAACAGGAGCTAACCAGATAATTTTACGAGAACAAGAGTCCTACACAGAAGTTCCTGGCTAACCATCAATGCTCAGATCAATGAATTGCTACACATTTAGTACTTCTTAACTCCATAAAGAGAAAATATATAGAACAAGCCAGAGGAGAAAAGGATGACTTTAAGAAATACCTGTTGGGCAAGTACCAGACGGCCTTCGCATTTACCAGATGTAGCACCAAGAAGTGGATACGTGTAATCTCTCAACTGAACAATGAGCGAAGCTGTTCGCAAAAGAATATTGCTCCCGTAGAGTCGAGAAAATGGTATATTGTTATCAAGAGCAACTGGGTCAAGCTTCTTAACAACCTCTATCATCCCATCATCCCCACCATCAATCTTTGTTAAAGTTAAATCTAAGTCCGCAGCAGAAATCGAAAGCAGAGAAGTTCTTGAAGTGCTTAGCTTGAAACCCGCTTGAAACCCTTCTTTATATGCACCTGAACCTTCCGAAGATACCAGCTTCTGGCATGCCTCATAATATGATCTAAATGACTGCTGATAAATTTCATCCTGCAGTTTCTGGATAGCTGAAGTATCTTGCATCTCAATTTCGACTCCATTGTACATAAACTTTTCCTCGTTAGTAGAATCATTTCCTTCTGAAGCTTTGAAGCAATCTATAGCCTTGGAGATACACTCATCGAGAAAATTTAACCTAACAGCCAGTTCAGATGCCTGATTCTTCATCAGATGATAATGTTCATCAAGCCAACCCTGCATTGGTTCCTCCTCGATATCAGCAGTGAGTTTACGTATGAAAAACTTTACACATCCGAATTTCGTTGAACTTGGCTTTTTCGGCTTTGATGTCTCTTTCTTGATGGGAAATATAAGTTGTGTTTTAGCAGCTGTTACAAGCTTCAAAGCACGCAACATTTCCTCGACAGAATCATCAATGGCACGCAATTCCAACCTGTATGGCAGGCTTATATGTACATTGAGTCCTTGAATCACCCAATCCCACGTGACAGATGGCACTTTTGGATCGGATGATCTGGTGGAAGCACTTGGAATACGTGAAATTTGCATTCTGCTGCTTTTCACAACTCTGGTCCCATTGAATCTGACAAGAAGTCCTTCAAGAAGTACCCCTATACGAGCATTCTCTGAGAAAATTGATTGAACCTGCACCATTGCATCAACTCCATCTCCAGCCACAGCAGATATGGTCAACTTTTCCACATCAACAGCGAAAATAGATTCCTTTTTCCTATGTTTATCAGTGTTTTCTGATTCTATTGTGGTTTCTTTCTTGTGTTCAGCATCTTTCACACTAGATGAATCTTCCATGTGTTCAGTTTCACTTACCTTAAGCTTCTGGTTGTGAGCTACAGCCTTCAATCTTAGCATAAGTTCAACCAGTGAAATCTGCAGATCAGGCTCCCAACCAATGGCAATATCCATAGCACTGAAAAGAGAACACACAGCCACTCCTTTAAGACCACCAGCTCGTCTCACATATTTAGCTTTCTGTATATCAAACAATGTAACTTTTGAATCAATCTTGTGCTCCTCCAACTGTTCCTCATATGTTGATCTTGCCCTTTCAATTTCCACCTCGGTAGATTGCTTTCCCTTATTCACACAGACACTGAAATGGATGATGTCAAGGGAGACAGAGTAATCCACCTTCTTGTGGTCACCATAAACTGTGGATATCACCTCCGCTGTCCGTGGTGTGCCATCGGCAGAGTTGGTAATTATTAATTTCCCGCCTTGTGATCCATAATTGACACGCTTGGGATCAGCGACAACTGTGTTTTCCAAGCCTGAATTACCAGATATATTCACAGAACACCTTTCAAGATTGAATTTGAGAATTTGAGCCCCTTTTCCGGAGGACTTAGATGGCCTTCCACCTCGACTCTGTGTTGTTCTTTTACCAGGAGAGAGACTTTTGGCAAGAGCTTGAAAGGAGACAGCAGTAACAACAAGTGATTCTAAGCGCTTGAAGTTCAAATGAATGCCCATACCAGTGACATCAATAGAAAGAACTAATTTACATTTACTGCCATCTTCTTCGGACGGTTCAGTCTCCTTTTTGCCCCAGTCCAGAATGACCTTTGGTACATGCAATAATGCACCTGAATTTGATTCCACAATAAATGGGCTCTCTTTCAAGCATTCTTGATATTCATCTGCCATGTGCAAATTGAGTTCGCCGAGTTCCATGTGCACGGTAGTTCCCATGTCCGATATGTTATTTGCAAAAACATGTGATGATTGTGCACATCCCTAGACAGAAAGAAAACATTAGCTAATACCATCCAGACCTTCAATACAACAGTTTATATGAAGGAATTGGATGCAAGAATTATATGCTAGTACAATCTTAGCTCCAGGCAGGTTGATGTGCACATAAAGTGCTAAAAGGAGAAACCTTTTTTTCATTATGAAAATAATGCAAGAACACATGGATCAAGTAGCAAAGGAATAAGCACAGCAGTAACTGCTCGACCATTATAAACCCATAAGTAAAGATAGATTATGTTGACATAAGAAGCATAGGACTTACATGATACAGAGGTAAATCATTGACACTGTAAAGAAGAAGAGTCATCTCAGGGGCTGAAACTGTGCAAGTCCACATAATTGCTTTGGATTCAGTTGATTGTGGCTTTGGAGGAGAAGGCACCTCTTCTCGAAGCACCAACTTTTTCTTTTTTGAGTTTTGGAGATGTAACCATGGTTTTAACCTGCTTGCTATGATGTTGCATTGAGTACCTCCCAGCTTAACATCAATTTCGGCTCGAATTGGAGAGTTGGGCTGCAAATTTAGAAGCAAAACAGGAGAAGTATGAAATGCTTGGAAACTCGAACTGTAAAATAGAAATGCATAATAAATAGACCAAGTAGATAAAACATCCAGAAAAAGAAGATGATTACTTAAAAAATAATGAGTGATGAGAATTAGCAGAATTATGAGACTGGAACAATAAGCACAGAGCCATAGGACCATAAGCTTGGAAACCACATATGTATATGGAAAGAACCACAAATAGAACCATCCAGCGTCAAGCATAATATCGCAGTTATAACAATATATTAAAAGTAATTATGAATGTTTACGTGGACAAATTCGTGGGTGTGTGATCAATATAAAAATTGTCATACGTGGGATACACATTATGGGAAAATGTTACCTTCACCATATAGGAGAGTGTGGAGATTGAGTATTTTGCAAATGACAATATCTTCAATAAATTGTTAAGATATGTTTAATGTAATTTTGACAAAGAAAATATAGTGCAGGTGTACATCTTAAGCAAGATAAACATTGCCCACTTTTCCCTATCAAAATCGACGAATTCATTCTAACTGGGGAGATGTCAAGCACCCATGTCTAAAATTAGAATATTATATGTACACAAAACTCAAAAGACGAGGATTTGCAACAGGCGCACAAACGATTAAAATACATGTTCTAAGTTGTCAACCACATCATTGAGGAGTTAGCTGCATCCGAGATATGTGCCATATCTGAATATCAGAAGGTGAACTAAACAACATCACAGAGAACCCACACTATTGACACAGGAATAACAAAAACACGAGCAACAGATAGTATTAAACAGCATCGGGGTAGCCAACATCGAGAAAATAATATGCCACACTTCAGATGACCTTACCTCTTTTGGCACATAAATAAATGTAACCAGATCAACTTTCAGTATTTCCACTACAGAACACCCAGCCTCCCTCAGCAGCTGAAAACAAACATGAGAAACTATCACCAGAATGAGAAAAACCACAATGAAAGAAGCAAGAAGTAGTAGTAACAAAAAGCCTCACTACTTCGTTACGTACATGCATCTCAGAGAAATCCATCTGAATATCAAGGCGCGTGCTCTCAACGTCCTCAGTAGATGGTGATTTCAAGCATTTGAATTTGAAGCCCATTATGTTATTCTTCAGAAGAAGATTATGCTCTTGATGCAGAAACCTTACATCCAGTTTCGGCAGCGTGAAGCATATCTATCAAGCAGAGACATATGCACAGGTGATAGTTAAATTTTTTAGCAACAAGATTCATGCTAGGAAAAGCATCGACCTTCTAGCACATAACAGATGCAGAAATCTATCTCCAAGGCTCATACATAAACTTTAGGTATCATTCTTATGCACATCCACACGAAGGCCAAGAAAGTAAAACAGAAGGAATTCCATCAAGAAGTTTCCTTCGAAATGGAGAGCTGTTAAGTAACGAATGCAAGAATTAGAAAAAGCTAGACCACTCTTATGGAATGGTGAACTGTAAACAAGGCATTGTCATAATTGCATTAACCACTGACCTTATCTGGAATCATGGAAGTGTACTTAGACACTGCCACAACTGCAGAATTCTTTTTCTCCGGATCTTTAGTCACTACAGAGTCAGGGACTGGACCTTTATCTTTGGCCGCATTTGAACTTGAAGAACTCTTCTTTTTTGAGAGCAGCTCCTCATTCAGGTTCACGCTAACCTCTCCACTACGAATGTCCACATTTTGGATAACTATACCCTTCTCCCTACATACGCAAACAGGTAGTCAGAAAATTTTAATCAATAAAAAACCCGAGCACGTAATAAGATCTCAAAAGTGTCAGGATACAAAAATGTGAGATCCCATAAGCAACAGAGAAAAGATACATTAAGAACAATTAAGCAGTCCAATGGTCCAGTAATCGGGTTCATTATATGTTTTTCATTCAAAAAGGAAAGATGATCATATGACTTCTTAATTGCAGGTAGCTGCACAATTGCATTGTTTTTCCACGTGTCAATTATGGAAAAATGCTTACTGCCTACATATTGGCTTGTGATGCTTCTGTTAAATTACTACTCCCCCAGCTTTTTCCATGTATAAAAAAAAAAAATTCCACCAACTCAAATGCACCCAAAGATCCGACCCCAAACAAGAACCATGTAGTACTCAGTGAAAACTAGAATTGGGTAAACACATTGAACTCATAAACCACTTCATCATTATTCCTCTTGCATGGAGCTTAGGAAACCCTTTAAAACTTATGTATGGAATGCAAATATCTAAAAGCTCTTGGTGAGAAAGACTTAGATGCAAGTAATAACAGCAACTAATTTATTTTAAGCCTTCCTCAACACAGTATCACTTAGCAGGCCTATCTCCTAAACGGAAGATTAAGAAAGGAAAACAGAGAGCATAACAAATGAAACAGCAATTACCTATCATGACCAAATTCCACTGAGAGGAAAAACTCATCACAGCTAAAAGGAGCCGAAGACCTCTCCATTGAACCAAATGACAATTCGCCCGAAGTAGACTCTCTATTGTTAGAGTTCGCTGGTTGGTCACAACTCGATCGTGGTTCACCCATGTGGACGAAAATAGGTAATATGTGTAGCTTAATGAACAGATTAGGACTAGAACCACCATCTTTGGATATACCCAATCGCAGGTCCTTAACTTCAACTGTAGCTTTGGGTGTCTGCAAGATTTTGAGAGTCAACTACTATTACCCAGTGAAACATCTTTGACATGACTACATAACCAAGGGGATATGAAAAATAAGACAACAAGTAACAGCACCAAGCTTCATGCAAATGGTTTCTGCAATGTCATCATTATTTGGATGACAATAGACTGAAATTCAAGTGATTGTGGCAGGCAACAGTAAATATATCGCACATCCAACATCTGCAACTCAGTTATTAAGTAATAGGTTTTGACAAACATTCATCTTTTTTATATCAAAACTTCAAATTCTGAAGTTTCAAACCAACACACCCAACAGACAGAGAACCATATTCCCTCTAAATGCAACATGCAGGGCTATACAAGCTGTAAATTCCTTCAATTTAACCTTCATTATCCGTGGTTTATATCCCTTTGGCATATATTTGGATATACAGCCCTCCTAATCATTTACAATAACATGCCTGTAACTCAACAATCCAATAAAATACAAGAAACGCAATGATGCATATATTCAAGTCATCTCCTTCCGGAGAAAAAAGAATTCTGTGTCACTAAAGGTTGCGCAGATTTTATATGCATCCATTCTGCCTTTAGACTATAACAACCTGTCAATGACAGCCGTCAATGACAGCAACATGATAAATTCCAGCAAATGCAAACAATATTTAAAATGTGAATCACCTCTGATAAACTTTGGCCTGTAAGCAAATACTTCACAGTCAATAGCATTGCACAGTTCATCCATTTTGCTAAACACACAAATCCGATTCCCAGAAGACCTTCCTATTCCTTCACTCCATGACAGAGAGAGACAGAGATGGGAAGGTAAACTTCTAGCTAGTCATTAATCTCGGAACTGAGCCAAAGTACAGCTTCTTCACTAACTTTTTTAGCCACCAGAAACGATAAAAGCCTATGAACTCAATAACCTTGCATACTATATTACTGGAAAAGGAAAAGAGTGTCATCCTACCGAGCACACCTATTCACCCCTATAGCTCTTATATTTGCAGAAACCCCTTTTACAGTCATCAAACAGTCTCCCCACTAATTTGCATTCAAAACAAAGAAAGGGAAGCCTTCTAGGTTTTAATATTTCAGAATGTCTCATCATCAACCATCCCAGTCACCTTTCAGCATAAAAAACGTCACCAAAAATATAAAATAAACATCACGTTACAATAAATGCAGCATCATATATTACCACGAACCTGTTTCCCTACAACCAAACATACACATTAAATAAACACTACTAGCAGAACATATTCTAGTGATGAACATCACATACCTTCACAACCAAATCGGTAACAGAGACTGACAGAAATTTGGCTACATTAGCTAAGACCATCCACTTTCCCCTTCCTGGATTTTTCTGTGATCTTCCACTGCGAGTTCTAGTTTTCTTACTGGTGCCCTTGATAGATGGCCTCAAAACAATTTCCAGGTCACTTATCAGCAATTGCAACTTAGGGTCCTTCGATATGAAAGCAACACCAAGTTTGACCAATGATTGACGTATGCTGACTCTAATTTCACCAACTGATACAGATTCAACTGAACCCTGAAAACAGTCGAAGTCATAACATAAATGGCAGGGTCCCACGATGGTGGAAAACAAGTAAAACTTCTCCAGGGCAATTATATGCAGAAAAGGATATATGATTCCTAAGTTACTAAGCGAATTGCAAAGTGCATTAGTGTGTGTGTCAGTGTTTTCGCGCGCACATGTTCATATCGTATTTCATAGAGCATTCTACTGACTAATTGGAACGCTAGTTAAGCACCACATGAAGGATGTATCATATATCCTATCAAACTCGCCAGGATGCCAGAGATCAAAATGCATTAGCATCTCTTTGTCAGAGAGTATTGCCATTACTACAGGTTCAGCTGGCCACAATAGCAAGTCAGTTTGAAGAAAGATTTTTCCGACCAGCAGAACCACATTATGCCTCATAGGCCTTCACTCTTATAGTATGGGGGTAGAGTTTTCTTATCCCAAATTTGAAAATACAAGTAAGTGAAGACAAACCTTTTTGAACTTCACTACAACATCTCTTAAACACTTCCATCCACCAACCCGAAATCCAACTGATGCTCCAACAACGCGGCTTAAAATCCAAGCCACCAACCTAGAGGCAAATCTGGTAAAGATGGGCATATTTCACAGTCAAGAAGGGAACTTCATAATCATTTCCGAAACCATTCATATAGTATGCAGGTAAATGATAGAAACTTCATCACAAATGACATAGCAGTTGAAGTATCATCGCCTCCGCATCGGCATATAATAGGGCAAGTAACTACATTACACTAATGATGGTGAAGAGGTACTTTGAAATTTAAATGTAGGAAGATATTGTTCGAAATAGCCACGAAGTCTGTAAAGCAAGACAACAAATTAAAGGTCTAAGACCAATGTAACAAACTGATTACACCACCGTTGCTTGAAAGATTAAGTGCATTCAACAGACAATAAGGTTATCACGCTACTTTCTATGGATTAGGCCACTCCACATGGTGATCACTGTCACACCCATAACAAACCACCACCATCATTACCATGAAGCAAGAACCACCAACATACCATAGCTCCTCCACCTACGTAACCTTATTCCATTTCAATGACATTGAACCATGAGATACAATTGGTGCCAAACCCACAATTTGTCTAAACATAAAAACTGGAGGCTACAATGAGTTCGATGTATTACTTCATTTTTCAAAGTAAAGTGAATTCCAAGCAAAGAACAGAAACGAGGGAAAGTCAGGAACCACCGCTCCACCTCCCATTATCGATCAAAGGAAAAACGAAATTCTGGGGTCAAAGGCATAAAGGATGAGAGTTCAGGCACTTACATGAAGAACAGCCACAATGTGATGCAAGCAATGAGGAACCCGAACAGGAACTTCACCGGGGAGGCCGCCATTTAGCCAGCTGAGACGACTGCGTGACTCTGACGTCCCAAGGAACTCGACGAAATCTAGCACAGAGTCCAGCGAAATGCCACCACCACCTCCGCACATAACTTCATGTCAAATTCCCGAAGGAAACAACGGAGGAATGCGAGAACCCTAAAGGACAGTCGCAATTAGCGAGAGGATGGAGAGAAGGAGAGAGAAAGAGAATGTGCACAGGAGAAAAGAGGGAAAATCATTTGTTTTCCAGGGTAGCGATTATTTCTCCCCAAGCGGCACGAACGAGTCGTCGGAGTCCGGAAATGGAGACCTAACCTGTGTCAACCATTGATACCCGTAGATCCGATCCGCGAAGTGAGGTGCTCTCGCTGATGATGATCACAAGCAGACACAACGCAAACGCAGAGAGACAGAGGTGGAGAGAGAGAGAAAGGCAACACTGTTTCTTTCCTGTTTCCAATTTTCCGTTTTCTTCCAATTTCGGTATTGACGGGATAGGTTCGATTGGGTGTGGATCGTGTGCAGGGGAGATAGGGTGCACTGTCACTGAACTAAGGTCAGGTGTATGACTTGGCGCTTGAACAAAAAATCTGTAGCTGGACACCAACCCCTCCGACGGGCTAGATTTATGTGAACACTGATGGATCTGTCCAGCAGCCAGGATCGAGAGCGGCAGTTGGAGGATTAATTCTAGATGAGCTGCGGAGAATAGAGATGCACACGAGCATTTGTTGCTAATCTGGGAGTGTGCACTACCACGAGGACCGAGCTTGAAGGGGATACACAAGGGTTAATGATGGCATGGGAAAAGGGACACAAGAAAGTGGGGATGGCAATGGGGCAGGTTTGTCTAAACCATCCTCATCCTCGTTTTCAAATATCCAAACTCATACCCGCCTCATAGCCATGCGGGGAAGGATTTGCAAACCCATCCCCATACCCGTGGGTTTCGGGTACCCATGGGTAATACCCGCCTCGTACATCCTACATTATAATAGCTAAAATTTTACATACAAAAATTTCAATTATAATACTAAACGCACCTACTATTTCATAAAGTCGACAAAGAGACAATCATTCTTAATACTATTCTAAGCATCTTATTCTAAAACATCCAATAATCCATAAGATAGAGTAACAATATAAGCCAAATCATTATTCTCTGACTTTGGTACATCTATTAAGTAATAAATAACTTACTAACATAATGTTGTAAACATGAGGGAAAAAGTCAAAGAATGAAGGAAGATTTGGAGGAAATGAATTATGTTTTGATTTGGGTGGTCACTCAATTGTATTTCTACTATTTATTTTCATGAGTTACCTTTGCCATTAATGATAGATTACAATTTAATTAATGTACATTTTATATGTGAAGAAATGTTTTTGGTGGGGCGTGTATGGGTATGGGTCGGGGGAGGCTAAACCCATACCCGCTCCCCCGACCCATACCCGCCCCATACCCATCAAACTTTTTGCGGGTTTTACCCATACCCGGTCAATGCGGGGATTCCCCGCGTTAACTGGGTCGGAGGCGGTCGGATACCCACGACCATGGGTTTGATTGCAATCCCTACAAGAAAGTACATCTACTACTTGACTCGTCAACAACCATCAAGATCTTGACATCCGCTGAGAAGCACAACGACCGATACTACAACATCACTAGACAATTACAGGGTCTCATCAATAGAAACTGGGAGGTTCAAATTTCTTATACGTTTAGGGAGTGTATCAAAGCAGTGAATTTTCTTGCCAATAAGTGGCATAGTGTGAGTTTAGGTAGTCATGATTTAAGCATTTTGGATCGAGGACTTTCTTTATGGATTATTTATGATACTATGGTTGTTGTCCAAGATCGTTTAATTTAAGTGTCAGGCAAGAGCGCCCTTTTAGTGTCCCATTTTCTGGGAGGGGTGGAAGTCAATTCAACAAAATCTAGTGACATAAGGGATGAACTATGATGGAGGAAAAAGAGAGAAGGAAGAAGGAAAGAATGAAGCAACAATGAGAGTTTTGAAGGTTGGGATGAGGACCTTTGATACTTAGCAAGCAAAGATTGATTCATTTTCTTTGATGTATCAATATCCCAGTTAGAGTTTGATGGATTTGGAGGCGTAGAAAGAAGGTTAGTTCTCCCTTCATAGTTATTCCAAATGTACTTTGCATGAGATCGCAGAACTCATTACAGAGGTCTTTTGATCCTCTAGTGAAGTTATGCTCTAATAAAAATGTAGTTAATCTTTCATACCAATCTCTAGGAGCTTGTTTTTGTCCATACATAGTCTTTTTTTAAGGTTGTAACCATGATCATGAAGGTTGTAGTTTCAAAACCATGATCATGTTCAACATAAACATCTTCATTCAGAAAACCGTTTAATTCTTATCCATAGACTATCACAGAATGCTTCAAAAGGATGACTATCAAATTCTCCTCCATGATCATTTCTCATTCTTATGACCGAATTTTTTTTTTTTGTTTGTACTTAGGTGATGCATGTTTTGAATTCACTAATAGTTTCATCTTGTGTCTTAAGAAGATGACCCATTTATACTTAGAGTGGTCATCCACCAGAACTAATGTATAAAATTTTCTTCCTAAACTCATGGTTTGGTTAGGTCCAAATATATCCATGTGAATAACTTCAAGTATTCTTTTGGTGGTTATATCAGGCTTACTTTTGAAAGACTCTCTAGGTTGCTTTCCTAGTGCACATGCATTGCAGAAAAAATTTGGTTTTTTAACTTAAGGAGGGAAGCCCTCTAACTATTTTGAGTCTAGATAGTTTTCCCAACACACTCTAGCTTACATGTCATAATCTTTCATGCCAGATCTACTGTGTATAGTTGCTAGAAGCTACTTAACACTTTTCATGCACAACATTAGTAGCTGATAGATAAGTTGTGAACATCATACCTTTTTTCTTTCTAGTAAGTAGCATTTTACCATATGGTATTCTTTCAATTTTACATGTGTCTTATTCAATGATTAATTAATTTCATTTTTCACAAAATTGACCGATAGATAGTAAATTGAACTTTAGACCTTTCATAATATCACATAAGAAAGCTTCGTGTTATTTGAGGATATGACATGTGACTTCTAATGTGACTTGTCCTCCTAGCTTGGTGATAGTGCCTTCGAATTTTCTCTTATCTCATGTCATGTGATTAGAGCAGACACTATGCAAATACCAACTATTCTTGCTAGTTTTTCTCTGCTCAGGTGGCAGTGAGTTTATTTTGGGGATCCATTGTTGTTTGGATTTTCCAGTTTTTCTTTTTGTTTCAATATCAAATGTATATTCATTGTTGTGGTGGTCTTCACTTTGACAGAACAAACATTTCATACGCGAGTAACACTCGTACGTGTAATGCCTATGTTTATGACACTTAAATCACTTGATTTCTCGTTTGTTCGTGCTTATGAAAAATGTTTTAATATTTTGATGTGTTTTCCAGACTTCTTGTTCGAGCCAGAATTTTGTAACATGATTGTATCCTGTCTATGAGTATTTACTTCTAGTTCAATGACACGCTTGGTCAAAGTTTGCAGATAGTCATCTAGTTCATTTAGACTTTCCTTTGGATCATTAAATTTTAGCTAACTTTGTAATTGAGATCATCACTGAAAAATTTCTTCTTCTTGAGACTTTAATTAAGTGACTTAGTGAATCATCTGATTCATTATCTAAGCATGCATGTAAGGACTACCTATATCTTTAGGGTTGCTCTGCTACATTCTGTGAGACTTATCTTATTGTGTCATTCTATTTATACTTCCTTAGATGCAACAGACTTATTGTGATCTTCATTTGATTTGGAAGATTCTTCTTTTGATTCTTCTTTAATTTTGTAGATTCAACAGTCATACTTTTACAGATATAGCAAGTAGTAGGAATTATAGGGATTCTACCGAGATTGTTTTTATAGATAAGAGAAGAAAGAGAAAGCCTTCATTTTTCCCGACAATGTTTATTTGATAGCTGTAGCCCACTTTGACATTCGAATTTACCATTTTCTTTCTTCTTCCTTTTCCACTTGCTACTATTATTTGTTAGCTTAATGTTTGATCATTTTCCTTTTCTTTTGTAGTCTTAGTCATTGATTAGGCCAACAATTAATATATATAAAGCTAAATTATGGTTACCATTAACTATCATTGAGTCTGTTTTATTAGGCTCATAATTTATGTTCGTCACATTTGCAATAGGAGTGAATTTTCCTGAAAGCCTGATGTACTTCTTCACCTGGTTTGTTTTCTATCCCCTCTCACCAAGTATAATTGGTGAATCCACAAGTAAACACAAAGAGTTGGAGATTAGCTTGGAAGGGAAAATTCATGGTCATTCCTAATTTCGATTGCCTCTGCAGCTTTCTGGTCTTCTTTTCCCTCTTTGTTTTAATGGCTCACTCATCAACAGATCTGATATAAAGAATGATAATGAAGATGAAATAGGAAGGATGACTAAGTATCGATATGAGTAGAAGAATAAACAAAAGGAAAGAACAACGAGTTACAGTTTAGGAAGAACAGAGAGAAAATTAAGGGTTCAATCATTGTCACCACTATCTTTGAATGCAATACTTTTCGCTTTTCATGTTTGTCAATTCAACCAGAACACATGTTTCACAAGCATTCACATGAGACTGAAGAAAAATGAAGAGGAAGGACCAAAAGGGATGAGAATATGGATGGGAATAGTTTTCCGAATATGATTTTTGAATCTCTACAGATTGAACCTTTTGAATTTATCATGCAATTCTGAGAAGCTAATTACCCTTCGAAGATAACTCATGTCAGGAAAAAGAACTAGTATAGAAGCAAATGGTTGGCTTTAGAGATAAGAGAGAGATTGGCGAGTAATCTAGAATAGTAAGGGTTTATGGCTTATATGGGCAAAAAAGAGAGGTAGAAATGTGTGTAATGGCTACAAGGAGCAGTTCAGTATTGTCATGGTCTTTCCCATCGTCCAAATCAAGTAATGCTCGTTCATCATCTTTCATTACACGAGGTACAAATCCTATGCATAATCATGCATAACCCTCACTTATTATTTATGGAAGACAATTAACATTTTCGCCAATTTAATTTGACGAGCTACATCTCTTTTTTTAATTCGTAATTGAAATTTTTGTGCACGGATAAATGAGATTAATTGTGCTCTTCAAATGAAGATGAAAACTCATGATCACTGATCGGGAGAGAAGCATGTGTAGAATCCGCCACTATGCTCGGAACTGGGTACCCCAACTATGGGTCACCTAAAACTGTTATCAACTAAGTTTCTAACGGGTTTTCGAATTAGGATTTTCGTTTGGCAAATTAGGGATTATGGGATAGTATTGGGAATTTAGGGTTGAGGAAGACAAAATTACGAATTAGAAGAAGAATTGGGGAAGGACAAATAGAATGGCCGAAGCCTTTAGGGAAGAAGGATAGACGAGATTGAGAAGAGAATGTTAGGGTTTTGGGAGATAACTTTCTCTTATTAAAAACTGCTCAATCAAATAAGAGACCAAACACACATATTT